GGGGAAGAAGTGAATTATAAAACATACCACAAAAAGGGCTTTGGCGCCACTGACTGCTGCTTGAACCTGACTCTCTTGCTTACTTGCTGGGCCTGCCTCCCTTTCCACTGCTCTCCGGGATAACAACGGTTGTGGTGATGGACTAACTCCATGCTGTATGATTTTTAGCAAAAGAGTAGCAAAGATGGTATAAGATGGTACAATGGCTACAGCCTTGGGTCCTGGATGGCTCTGCCACCTACCACCTGTGTAGCCTTGGGCTAGTACCATACCAACCTCTCTCAAGCCCCATTTTCTCATCTGTAAATTGGAGATGATGATAGGTCTATCTTAGAGGTTACTGTGAGGATGAACTAAAAGAACCCATAGTAAGTGCTCAATTCACTTATTTTTAAAAGTTTACGTTTATTCTTTTGTGTGTGTACTTGTGTGCGCTTGTATACCACAGCTCACGTGTAGAAATCACAAGACAATCAACTTGCAGGAGCTGGTTCTCTTCTTCCACCATGTGGGTCCCAGGGACTGAACTCAGTTCATCAAGCCTAGAGGTAAGCACCTTTACCCACTGAGCTATCATGCCACTCTTAATGAACACTATTTAATACCATGTCTAGCACATAATACTTAATGAATAGTAACTAACATGACACAAGTGGTAAATTGGAGAATACAGTAAGTGCGCATGTCCTGAAGAAAGGCTGGATACATTTCAGAAGACAACATATGGTTTGGAGTTCTTACTGTAACAGATCTCAAGACCGGGTATGCAAACCACCCCAACAAGGCTCCACTATCAACTCTCTCAGAGCCTCATTCATGTTAGCCAGTGTCTATGGCACCATGGTGCACATACACAGCCCACATCTCCAAGGACAGCTCACAACAATTGTGGCATCTATTCTCTGTTGGTGTCTTTTCTCCAAGGTTTTCTTTAATGACGGTGGTACAGTGAAAAAACCCGCAGGAGACAGGGAGGGAAATTCACAGGAATGAGAGGACCATAGTGTTGCATCAGCTCGGAGCCTTCCAAATGTGAGCCAAGAACCATCCCTCTTCTTTGGTGGTGCTTTTTGGGCATGTGACTTTGCTAGTTGAAAACAATTTTACCTGTTGGTTTACAGAGCTACTGTCTGTGATTCTGCCCTTGGAGAAACAAGTTGAACTGTGTGAACATGATGGAATTAGACTTTTTCAGAACTGATGTGACTGAAAACTGAACCATCAGAGAGCTGGCATGAAGGACAGTGGACAAGGGCCTATACACAGCCAGCACGTGAGCCAGTGCAGACAGGAGTGCAAGCTTCTTGGCATAGATGGCAGTTAGCTCCCTGACCTGCCTCCTTCTGCACCACTCTGCCCTCTCTGCGTGCTCCAAGCCACCATCCACTCCTGGATCTGAAACCTGGTCCACACACCCTGCCTTTGTCCCCACTGTGGAATGCCCTTTGCTGACTCAGATCCTAGACAGGACCATAACTCTCTGTTTGCAGGTTTGCACCTGTAAACAGGGAGCAATGAGCGTGCTCTATTTATAGTCACAGTTGCAGCCACTTGTCTGGGCTGAGCCAACAGAAAACCAACAGGCAGCACCAGGACAGCGCAGAACTGAAGCCTGTCCTCAGGTGCAACGCCTCTAGCTCTGCCTCTAACTTGCTGTACAACCTGGCTAAGTTAGTCTCTGTAAAATGGACACAATAATTGGCTTCCTGCACTGACTGGTTGGGAAACTCAATTGTCTAGAAATAAAGCATTTAAAGCACCTGGCACAGTGTAAAACTTGCAGAAGGGTTCGTTATTGTGGGCACCATTGTGGTTGTTAGATCCATGTGCAGAGACTGTGTACCCAGTAGCTAAGCAAAGGTCTGGGTTTATGGGATAGCTCAGTGCCCCTGTGAATCCAGCTGTGCTGGACATCTTCTTACTACACACCTGCAGAGGGAGAAGGAGCCTTTACGCTGGCTGGTGGACACTTTCATTTATTCGCTTTGTATTGTTTTGTTGTTTAAGATAGGGTCTTGCTTATGTAGCCTAGGCTTGCCTTGAGCTCGAAATCCTCGTGCATTGGCCTCCCAAGTCCTGGGATCACAAATGTGCACCATGATACCTGGCCATGACCTTATTTCTTTTCCGGGTCACCCCCTAACCTCTACCAAAGCTAACTGGCAGGAACTCCCACACCCTTTAGCAGCACAGGCAAACATGTGAGGAACACTAGCCCCAACTACAAGTTCTCTCTTCTAAGAACAGCAGCTCCTGAAGTTAGGGAGGATCTAATCCAACATCAACCTTCTAATGGATGGGGAAACTGAGACCTAGAGAGGTTGTAAATTTGCACTGTAGTTAAGTCAATTTTGTCATAGATACTAAGAATACCATAATCACAGAATAAAGCCAGAGGGATCTTTAAAGTTTATCTAGTCTGGTATTTTCAGACCATACATTCCAGTGCATCTGATGATGTGTGAGTTCTGCAGCAAACCTCTCACCGTCATTTGATGAATATTTCTTGAACATCTACAGTGTGCTGTGCATTAGGGGACTATCAGAAGAGTGGCATTATATAAATCATTAAGTCAGAGTAAAGTCCTACTGCTATGAGTGTATTATGTCTCAATGTGCTGGAATGAGAGCTCTACCTACATGCCAGTATGTTTCTGAGTGACAGAAGAAGACACCTGGGGGTGGAAGGGGCAGTCATGGGTAGGGCCCTAGAAACTGCCCACCCTATTGGGCTCACTGGTGCAAAGGTTAACATCATTACTATGTGGCTGCAGCAGCAGAGAGACTGAGAGCCACCGAATTAGTTCTACTCACCTTCGTTGCACAGATAACAGAGGCCTGCAAGTTTAACTCACTTGTCTAAAGTGGCTGATGAGAGGAAACCTTAAGAGCTCTGTAATAGCTAGCAAGGATTCCTTCCAAAAACAGGCCCAAGTCCCGTTGTGTGGCAATTGATCTGACCTCTGCTCAATTCTGCAACCTCGTCTCTTACCATTCTGACTCCTACTCTATGATCCAACCAGATGACACTACATAGGTACAAAGCAGTGAATGTACCTCTGCCTAGCCTACACTTCTCCCTCTACCAGGGACCCAAAATCTACATTGCTAAATAACTCCAGCCCATGTTAGATCCAGCTGGGCTTCGCCTCCTCCAGGAAGCTGTGCTGGAGCTGGCTTCCTCTGCCTCCCACAGCACTGATACCTCCACACAGAGAAACACTCCTCACATAATGTATTCATCCATTCAACAAATATTTATTGAACAACTTCCATGTGCCAGACACCCTCTGATACAATAGTAACAAACCAAACCACTGCCCTTGAAGGACTTACATTCTGGTGAGGGAAACAGACAGCAAACTCAACAAACAATACATAGTATAATGTCAAGTAGAGTTTGTGCTATGAACCCAACAATAATAGCAGAGGCTGGAGACTGGTGGAGCATCAACTGGGAAGGCCTGGAACATGGCATTTGATCAGGGGTCTGAAGAAGTGACAGAGTAAGCAGGCAGAGCTGGGAAAGGAACATTGCAGAAAGAAGCACACTGGCCTGTGGTTACTCCCACTAATTTTCTAGTATGTTCTATTTCCCACTGAACCACAAGGGTGTATCATAAGTGTGAGTTCCAGGGCCCAGTGCAGAACTTGGTATCACTATGGTGGACATTTACAGAATACGTGAATGACCCTGGGCTAGGCTGGCGGAGTCCATAGGTCTAATGAACAAGATTGTGCCTTCTTCCATCTCTCTCCTCAGGCCTAAGCTTAGCATAGGCTCTGACTCTGGCCAATTTCTATCCCTGGACTCTCTTTTAGGACTGGGAGTCTGCCCTATCTAGCTCTCTTCTCTCTGGCCAAGATATGGACCTTGTCTACAAACCCAGACTCTATAGAACTAAGGGTCTGTCCTACCTTCCTCCAGTTTCCTGGGTGTGAAAGGCCTGCTCTAAATCACTTGCTCAACACTGAGTGGGCTCTGACACCTGGGATTTCTCCAGCTAAGCCCTACCTCCCCAGAAGTCTCCCACCCTGTTCTTGGTTTCCCTCCAAACCAAATGACTCTTTTCTATTGGGACATCAACACTCCTTCCTGTAGTCATTTCACAAAACCACTACTGAATGCCTAGCCCAGCCACAGCACATGGTTAAGCACCTGAATCCTCATGTTGCTTGTTACAGACCCTGTTCTCTTCAGCAGACCAAATGTCCAAGTGTCCAGATTCTAATAGAAATCCAGACCCTCCCAAAGGCACGTTACAGCCTTATATACTGTAAATAAAGCTAAATGGCCTTATGTGCTCAAGCCAACAGCAACAGAAACTTGTGGGAGTCACTTGTGCTTTGCCCCAGACCCTAAAAGGATCCAAATGGGCTCAAGGCTGAGTAATCCATCCATCTCCTTACTCATTCTTTCACCCACACACACACTTACTGACACCTGCTACATGCCCTGAATCATGAAACAGTGCCTGCATGGGTGATGATGGTGGTGGTGATGGTGAGGAGGAAGGGAGAGTGGTAAAAATAGGTTGTCACTTTCCTGAACACTTGCCCTGTACGGCAAGGCAGTTAGCCTCCTTGATGGTAAAAAAACGGTGAAAATGGATGCTTGGCCGCACTTTACAGAGAAGGTAATGGGCCGAAAAGGAAAAGCAACTTGCTCCAAGTCGCAGAGCTAACAGCAGGGTGTATACAAGTACAACCCCTTCCAATCGCACTTTAAGCACTAAAGTTTACTCAACACATGTAACTTAAAGAAGAGCGCCTGGTCCTGCGGATGATGGAGGAGACAGACCAACAGCTTTCTACAGCAGGGGGAAGCCGGGGCTAGAGACAGATAAAGAGCAGAGGAGAGCCAGAGCTGGGGGAGTGGCTTCGGGGCCAGGCCTGGAGGGAGGACTGCAGGCCCGGAGCGTGGCCCGGGGCGCGCAGGGTCCTCCGGGTGTCCGGTCCTGTCCACCCCCCGGGGCCCACGCGGCGGGGCTTGGCCTCACCTCCTTCCACCTGAGCTGGCGAAGGCTGATCTTCAGCGCGTCCAGCGAGGTCCTGGCCTTGGAGCTGTCCACCGTGACCTGCTGCTGCGAGCCGGAGCTCCGCCCGCAGCTCCTGCCCCGGGGCTTCTCGAGCTCGCACTGGCCCCGCGCCGCCGGCCTGGGCTGGGCCTGGGGCAGCGCGGGCGGAGGCCTCCGGGGGGCGCGGGAGTCGCCTTCCTCGCCCGCGCGAGGCCGCGCCGGGGCTGGGCCCGCGGCCTTGGGCTGCTCCTCACGCGCCGAGCTCTCGGGCTCCCCGGCCGCACCCGCGTCCACGCCGACCAGTTCCTCCACCTGCGCTTTGGCAGCCTCTGCGTCCGTCTCCCCCCCGGTCGCCGGCTCCCGCTCCGGGCTGCCTCGCCGCATGGCGCTCAGGGCCGGGGCCGGTGCCACAGCCACCGCCGCCGCTCCGCCGCCCCGGCCCGCGACCAAACTGCCGCCGCCGCCGCCGCCACGCGCTCCCCGCCCGAGCCCGTTGCCATGATCGCTCAGGCTCCAGTTGACAGGGATAGTCGCCGCCTCGGGACGGGGTCCGGGAAGGGACAATCGCCCGCCGAGCCGCTGCGACCTCATAAGCGAGCGCGTCCACGTGTCTAGGTCTGTCACAGACGCAGCGGCGGCCATCTTGGAAGAGGGCAGCTAGCGGCTCTGGCCCGCCCACCCACAGACCCATTAAGTTTCTGAGCTGGAAGTAGCTGGCAGTGAGGTGGATGGTAAAAAGGTGCACCTGTCGGCTTCTGGGCGGAGCGACGTCTACCTCAAACAAGAGGCTGTTTCCCGAGCCCCACGCACACTCGCTGGGATCACTCCAGGCCCACATCGATCCACTCATCCCTTTTCTGTAAGCCCCAGACTGAGAGGGGAAGACACTGTCTCAGGGAGTTCCCACAGAGTCAAGCCCTACAGATTCCCGACAAGTAGAGAACATCAATGAATTTTCTTATTATGTCACTTTTTTATCGTAGTAAAAAGTATATAACAAAATTTACCATTTTAACTATTTTTAATACACAGTCGAGTGACAGTACATCCACGTTGTGCAAACCATCACCACCATTCATCTCCATAACTTTCCACACTGAAAGCCTACCCATGAACCAACTCTCAGATCCTCCGGCCCCATCCCTTGGCCACCACCATCCTACTTCCTCCTTGATGAATCTGACTACTCCAGTATCTCATTGAAGTGAAATCATTCAAAATTTGACCTTTTATGTCTGTTTTGTTTCAGTTCTCAATGTCTTCCTGATTCACATCATAGTGAGGTATCGGGTCCATTCCATTTTAAGGATGACAAATACTCTTTTGAGTGTATGCATGGCATTATTTTTGCAGACAAGAAAACCTTTTATTTTAAACCACAAATAGCAGGTGGCCACAACTATCCATGTTTCATTAAAATCACATAAAACCTAGGTACAAAAGCACCACTGATTATTGCTCTAGAAAAACAGCATGAAAAATTCAAATGTGCACAGCAAAAACACCACAGTAGGCACAGGACTGCATTTTTAAAGCAAGGACATGGAATGCCAAACCCATTTTACGCACAGCTGCTAATATTAAATTGATATTTATTTTACCTGAGGATGATGGAAACTTCCAAAAAGCATCACTATAACAGGGTAAAGTCTATCTATCTATCTATCTATCTATCTATCTATCTTTCTTTCTTTCTTTCTATCTATCTAGATGATAGATAGATATAATGCCAACTAATAGAGTCCTAAAAATTAGCATTTACAAAATACTTGATTAAATAGTCTTAAAAAGTTGTCGCAAGGGGTATGTAAAATCGACCCCAATTTTCCGTGACAATCCATTCTCCCTCAGGCTCTTTGGCTTTTGTTTCACTGCTTTCGGATGGTGCTGTACCTTCCTGCTTTTCCTCCTCCTTCCCTTTAGCTCCTCTGCTTATCTTTGCTCCAGGTTCTTTCTTCACAGATGTTTTTCTTGTTTGGGGTCAGGTTTTGGTGGAGGAGGTTTCGCTGACAATCTGGCAGACAGTCTTGTGGGCTCCTGTTTAGTTAGTTTGGTTCCATCTTTGCCTTCTGTGTTCTCTGGAGACTTTCTCTTCGGCATAATGAAGACAAGTTAGTGCGAAAAAAGCAAAGCAACGGTCTGGGCCAGCTGGCACAACACAGGATGCTACCTGGCCACTGCAGGTGCTCCCACAATAGGCTCAGCTAGCCTGGCCTCCCCAGCCCACACCTCTGCTTCCTCCCCTCCCTCCACTCACTGGCTTCCCAGTCCCCTCACATGGCATTATTTTTATCCATACATCTACCCGTGGACATTTGAGTTATTTCACCTCTTATACTACCATTAATACTACCATTAATATACCATTAATATTCTTGTTTTAAGGATTCATTTATTTTTTATGTGTATGAGTGTTATGCCTCCGTGTATGCAAGTGTATCGTGTCGCGCATGCCCACAGAAGACAGAAGAAGGCATCAGATCCTCTGAGACTGGAGTTACTGATGGTTGTTAGCTGCCATGTGGGTGCTAGGATTTGAATCTGGATCTTCTGCAAGAGCAGCCAGTGTTCTTAACCACTGAGCTATCTCTCCAGGCTCTTGTTTGGTTGTTTCTTAAGACATGATTAAGTGCCGAATGAGGCAAAAGAAACAAAATTATTTAGGAGTTCTAGGTATGATGAATTTCTTGAGAATTAAAAAGCCAGACTCTACCTAAGATATAAACTGAGTGTTCAGGATGGAGCAAGAGTTAGCCAGACTTTTTCTTGGTATAGTGGTGCACACCTTTAATCCCAGCACTTGGGAGGCAGAGGTAGGCAGATCTCTGTGAGATCGAGGCCAGACTGGTCTACACAGCAAAGTTCCATTGTCAGGACTTTGGACACCATAGGAGGTACACTTTGACTTCTCAGAAAACCCCAAAATATGTCAGTGGAAATCCAGCCCTGTAGGAGATGTCTCCAAGAGAAGCATCCACCATGGCTGCAGAAAAACAAAGAGCAAGTTAGGATGAGGGACTGTGATAACAGCTCTGCACTACACAAATGCACAACTAAAGCGTTTCTCTCTCTCTCTCTCTCTCTCTCTCTCTCTCTCTCTCTCTCTCTCTCTCCTCTCTCCCTTGCAGTTCAGACTGCAGCCCAGAGTGAGAGTTTCACATCTCTGTTTCCTGATTGTCTTTCCAGCCAGAGTCCAGGAGCCAGAAGAAAGGACTGCACTGTTCCTGTGGACCACCGTGGCTCAGTGCCTAGTCCAGTGTCTGGCAGAGCAGAGGCTATCTTCTGAATCACTGGATGAATGAATGAATGATCATTTACACTGTTCAGCTTTTCACACTGAAGAAATAGTTGAATAAATTATGGCAAATTCTGTCAGTGACAGCTTTAGCCACAGAGGAAAATGTCAGTGACGTAACATGAAGGGAACTGGCACAAACAGTGTAATTACAATGGCTAAAAACTGCCCAGCATAAAGAGGGCCCGGAAGAATTTAGAGACAAATAGGAACAGCTGTGGTGTTAGAGACACAGGATTCTTGCTTGAATTTTTGCTCTCAGTTTTGGGAAACTATTGCAACCTGGTGGGGCTTCATGCCCCTGAACCCAGAAACCAATTTCATTTCTGGAGATTGCAGTGAAGAATCAGAAAGACAAAGCTTTGTGTTGTGACCTATTACTGGTCATGAGGCAGGCACTGGACTGAGCATTTTGCAGATGTCCTGTCATTTCATTGTCAGGACAACTCTGGGGGGGGTGTCCCCTTGGAAACCATATTTTACAGATGCTGAAAGAAGTCATTTGCCCAAGTCACGCATCCAGTAAAGACAGAGACAAGATTCTAACTAGCGGGATGGTTTGATACTGTAGTGCACTACGCTCTCAGGATCCATATGAACCCTCCAAGTCTCTGCCCAATACTCAATATATGTTTAAACACAATTGAGACTCTCTGTGTGTGCAGAAAATACAGGCACACTAGTCATTGGCTATGGAAAGATGGTAGAGAAAATCACTGGAAATTGTATGTCTAAATATTGTGGCTATTATAAGTTGTGACGGTGTGTCATTTTCTTTATTCCAATGTTTTCAAAAATTTCTACAACAAGCATGTAAATGTGATGGCTAACTGGAAAATCAAATTTTAAATAAAAAGTTTACCATTGTTATATCACTTTTACAGCAGGTCCATTTCTGGGGGGAAAGATAGGAAGGGACCATCCAGGGGAGAAGTTTAGGTTATTCTTTTTCCACGTTGTTTTTCTGCTGTTACTGTGACGGTCTGCCACCAGGTGTCACCCAGGATCCGGTTTGAAGAGCTGGCAAATCATTGCCAGGGAAGGTTCCAGCACTGTAAATGCACCACACAACTCCTCCCACCAGGCTCTTCTCCACAAAGCCACACATTTTTTGTTTTTGCCACTGTTGATCCTGCTGTCTGGTGCACCTTCACCCTCGCCCCACTTAATCCTGTCTACTTAGTTAAGCACCTCAAGGCCCAAATACAAAATTTATTCTTAGGACTTAGCAGAATACCTGACATATTGTTAAAATTAAAAAAAAAATTTTAAACAACTCCACATTTTAAGGCCACACACTGTCTATGTGCTGGATAGCTTTGTGTCAACTTGACACACCTAGGTTGAGGGAGCCTCAATTGGGGAATTGCCTCCACTGGCCTGGCCTGTGGCCATGTCGGTGGGGCATCTTCTTGATTACTGAATGATGTGGGAGGGCCCAGCCCACTCTAGTGGTGCCACCCCTGGGCAGGTGGGCCTGTGTTGCACAAGAAAGCAGGCTGAGCAGGGGCCAGGGGAGCAAGCCAGTAAGCAGCATTCCTCCACGGCCTGTGCTCCAGCTCCCGCCTCCAGGTTCCTGCCCTGAATTCCTACTGGAGGAACTGTGACCCGGGAGATGTAAGATAAAATAAACACTTTCCTCTCCAAGTTGGTAGTGGTCAGAGTATTTTGTCACAGAAATGAAGAAACAAACCAGGACAGTCTATTATCTACTTGATGTGAGAATGGAGAATATTTCCAACACAAAAGTCCACAGAGGGATCTGCTTCATGGCAGAGGCTTACAGAATGCATGTCTGCACAGTGAACAACTCTTCCTGTCCCTGTCCTTTGCGTATGCTGTGAGTAGGGGTTGGAGGGACGTTCCTACAGAGGGACAAAGATGAGAGTGGGGAAATCCTGGCAGAGAAACAGGTCTGAGAGTGTGAACAGGATTACAAGGGGGTTTGGGAATGGGGGTGGGGTAGAGATGGTAAAGGCTTGGTGGAGCCAGCAAGGTCAGTGCCAAATCAAGCCCCTTTGCATAGCCATTGATGCACCTGGAGGGTTTTTAAAAAAAAATTTTATTATTTTTATTTTATGTATATTCATGTATTGCCTGAACGTAGGTAAGTGCACCCGTGTCACAAAATGCCTGCGGAGGTCAGAAGAGACTGTCAGATCCCCTGAAACTGGAGTTACAGACAGTTATTAGCTGCCATGTGGGTGCTGGGATTTGAACCCAGGTCTTCTGCAAGAACAACCAGTGTTCTTAACTGCTGAGCCATCTCTCCAGCCCCTGCACCTGGAGTGTTTTAAGTGGAGGACTGACACGGTCAGGTTTCTGTTTCAAAAAGAATGAATCAGGCAGGGGAAGACAGAAGTCAATACTCGCAATGGCTAATATTGTCAGCATGATAGGATCTAGAATCACCCATGAGCAACACTGTGGGCACATCTGTGAGGGGTTATCTAGGTTAGATTAGTCTCTGGGAATGCCTGTGAGGGATTTTCTATTTTTTAAAGATTTGTAAGATTTGTTATTTTTAATTACGTGTATGTGTATGTGCATGTGAATGCTGCTGCCCACAGATGCCACACGTGTTGGATCCATCTAGAGCTGGAGTTACAGGCAGTTGTGAGCTACCTGATATAGGTGCCAGGAATCAAACTGAGGACCCCTGCAGGAGCAGTAGGTGCTTTTAACCACTGAGACATCTCTCCAGTCCGGGGGGAATTTTCTTGATTAGACTAATTGAAGTCAGAAGACACCCTGATAGCCTTCTACCACACAGCCCTGATATAAGGAAGTCCAGGGAAAAGTTCTTTGTTTTTGCCTGCTTGTTTTCTTGTCTGGTTGGCGAGTGTTGCTGCTGCTCCCGCACCACCACGACCCATGCCTCCATGCCTCACTGACCTCAGAACCCACCGTCTTTAGTCTTCCAACCTGGGCTGAAGACCAGTAGCTCTCCAGGAATCTTCCAGGCTTTCAGCATCAGACTGGGACTGCGGAGGCCTCAGCTTCCTGGACTGAGCGGCTACCAGGTTCTCGGCCTCTCCAGTGTGAAATCAACACTTGTTGGACTGCCCAGACTACATTATGTAAACCAATCTAATAAGTACTCTTTTAATATATATTCATTCTATTGATTCTGTGCCAGGAAAGGACCCTAATACAATCATCTAGTCCACTAAGAAGGAGGACAACATCAGATCCTTCATTCAGAAAGAGTTCACACTGCCCATGTTCACACAGATGGAAAAGTGGAGCTCTGATGCCAACATGGACCAGAACCTGACCCTTAGCTTTATACTGCCTTAGAAAGTGGGGCAGGATCAGAGTGTGAGACATGGGGGATTCACTGCAGACAGGTGTGGGGTGGAGGCTGCAAGAGGAACATGGTGTGAGGGACTCTGGGGCCCCACTGTTGCTCAGGCTGTTCAGGACCCCCGAGTGAGGTGCCCTCTCTTTCCCTGCACCAGGGGCTCAGCTTGTGTTTCCTTCTCCCCAACCGGAGTCTAGAGCCTGCCACATTCATCCTCCTCCTTCACTGTTCCAAAAAGCCTGGGCGTTTTTAGGGTTTCACTCATCCAAGGATGACACTTAGGAGATTCTAGTGAATCCGGTCTCTGGACCCCCCCGTGGGAGGGTCTGTGGGAGCCCTGGGTACCCTGCTCCCTTTGAGTTACCACCCCTAGTCATCTGGACCTTCTTCTCTTCTTGGCTTCTTCCTCAGGGGCACCCTCTGGATGACTGGTCTCGAGGAGACCTCCAGACCAGCAGCTGTTACCCCACAGGCCTCCTAACCCGGGACGTCTCCTAGAGACAAAGAATACCAAGGGGCCAGGAGGGACAGAGAGAAGGGAACCCTTCTGAACAGAAAACAACTGAAGGAGGCCTAAT